AACGAATATTTAACCGCTTCAATGATTTTTACCCATATTTCTTTCGGTCCAGTCGCGTAGGCTTGAGCCGGTTGACGACAACGTTTTTTGAATTGACTGTATCTTTTAAGTACACTGGAGTAAGCTCATGCATTGTTTTAAACATGGTTATTGCCTTGAGCTTTTAATTTCCGGCGTGTATGAAGATTATCCCATTGTAGGGCCCGAAGAAGAGTAGTTGAACTAGTTTCATAATTGCTTTTAGTGATCACCCTGGCAGCACGATTTTGCAGTTTTTGTAGTTTGTCAGACAAGCGGTTACTTAACCCATCCCACACTGTACTGCAATAATCAAAGTGTGGTTGGATTAAGGCCTTATATATTGTTACTGCAGTATCTGCAGTATAAAGAAATAGATGGTCGAACTCTTCTTAGAGCACCAATCCCTGATGCGATTCTCTTTGATATTTCGCCAACACTGAGAGCTGTTAGAGCTCTAACTGCACCCCCGAATTTTATTTAAACTATGTCCTTCCTTGGGAGGATCTTCCTGTATACGTGAATTTTTTATGAATCACACCTCCTATACGTAATATAGTTAGGTTTAAATACAGTATTTTTTAACTTTATTGTAAAACTCCCTGAAGAAGTCTATAGAGTTAGACGAAACGTGACGGAGAAAATAAAAAGTTTTACAATCTATCATCCGTGGTGCTCCTCACTAGTCTCCCTGAAAAAAATTGGATGGGGCTATTTTGGCTATCGTTTTCAAAACAGCCCCTTCAGGGCTAATTTAGCCCTTCTGCTAAAAGGGCTGATTTGGACTTTGGGGCTGAATCAGCTCGATCGAATTTACAGTACAGATAGGCCAATATTAGTATCATCGGCAAATATGTTCGTTTTGGCTACGGTAAGACAGTTTGGTAAATCATTAATATATACTAAGATAGAAGAGGACCGATTATACTCCCTTGGGGAACACCAAGAGTTAGTTGGCGTGAAACTGAGAGCGTGCCATTCACGAGGCACTTTCGACTACGATCACTTAAGTAGGATTGGAACCACGCAAGGGCATTTCGATCCAAGCCATAGTTACACAGCTTACGCATAAGAATCTCATGGTCAGTGGTATCAAAAGCCTTTTTGAGGTCGATAAAGATAATTCCGTTAATGAGGCCATTATCGATATTAATTGACCAGGTATTTATTGCTTCAAGTAGTGCTGTAAGGGTACTATGAAGAGACCGAAATCCCGCTTGGCAGTTTGATAGTAATCTATTTTCGTTTAAAAATAAATATAAATATATATTCGATTCTAACCGCCATCTTTGTTTTCTAATGAGCCCGCTATATTTTATTATGAAAAACCGCAAATAAGTCATTAAAACAGGGAGCCCAGTTTCTGTTGTATTTTCTTTTTACCAAAAATTAAGATGGTATAGGCCCAAAGTGGGCGTTGCCGCCCTCTCAACCAATGAGATGTATGGATTTTAAACCCCGTGTTCACTTTGAATTGCTTTGAGCTCGATGCCAGTTGTTTCGTCAATATACGGCCTCGTTTCAGTTTTACGGGTCCAAAGTTCGTTTTGTGAACTCCTTGTCGTCAATTAAAACGTTCTCGACCCCAATACAAGCATTGCTTTTTATCTTATATTATTACTTTAATGGCTGTCAATAAAACGTTTCTTCTTAGAAAGAATTAAACAAGTTTACTGCTGAGCATTTCAAAAGAATGTTTTAGTGCATGGATTAGAATATGGCGAGCTAACATGGGCGCTAACATCATTTGTTTACTGTTTTGATAATATAGACGGTTCAGCTTTAAATAAATCGGAAATCCAAATACTGCTATGCATTTTACTTAGTACAAGTAAAACATTGGACCCTAACGAACTTTTCATGGCTGTAAGAAGTATCTAAAATAAGAGGTTTCATAGTAACTCTACCCATTTTAAATCAAAATATTTTTTAAACGGCGATACCTGTTACTTAAGGTGGAACCAAACTAATAGCGCAGCGCACTGATTCTAAAAATAGCTTAAAGATTCAGACAAACATTGCATTCTGTTTAACCGCATAATACGAACCGATTTTATTATTTTTACTTAAAGTTACAATAACAACCCATGTAAACTAAGATCAACTGCGATCGGCTGTGAAAATTATCTGCTGAAAGTAAACTTGTAAGTTTGTTTGTCCGAATTTCGCCTTTGTCTTCGTTTTGATGACGTCACGGTTGCGCTGCGCTATTGAGAGCGAATTTCGGACAATCAGTTATACTCGCTCGCTTCGCAAAACTAGTGCGTCAATTTAACTGTATTTTTCATATAAAGTGCATGAATTATCCTAGATTCTAACAGTGTATTTTATTTTAAGATTTTTATTTAAAGAGCTCACCCCGCTAGAAATAATTAATTCAATATCGGTCGGCAACAACGCTCTCGGACATTCCACAATGTTAACTTCGGGAAAGGTTCGGCAGAATATCTGCATAAACACAATGACATTGAAGGTGTGTCGTTATGCAAATATTCTGCCGAACTTAACCATGTGAAACGACCGAGAGCGTTGTTCTCGACCGACGAGGTGAGTTCTTTAGGTACACCTCAATTTAAAAAACGTTTTCTCCAAACTTTGGATAGGACAAGCTGTAGAAATTTCACTACCATCTAGATATAGCTCTGGTCTATTGATGTAGGAAGTTTGAAGAAAAAACTTGGAGCCGGTTTGAAGGAAACGGCGAAAATGTGATTTTTAGCAAAACTCTCATATTTGAGGTTTACAACGACAATTAGTAAAAAAACATTTAATCAATGAGTTTTTAATATTTGATGCTGATTTTTCGTAAGGCTCATCCGCAATACTTAGAAATAGATATGTGAAAACTTCAAGGCAATCCATTCAATGGTGGTGTTTCTAAAACGCGATGTTTAATATGCTCCAAATTTTGGATCGAATTTTCAAGCGGCCTCATAACCTTTTTTTCTGCCCAAGACTTTCCATCCAAATTTATACACAGGCTGTAATGGTACTAGATGAAAAGATTCTGAAAATTTCAGAAAAATCGTACCTGAGGATGAGGATAAAAAAGCCAAAAACTAAAAATGGCACTGTTTGATTTTCGGCCGTAATAGGCTAAGCATTTAAAAAATCTTAAAATAAAATGCACTGTTAGAATCTAAGATAATCAAAGCACATTATACGAAAAATCCAGTTAMATTGACGCACTAGTTTTCCGAAGCGAGCGAGAATAAAATTGTCCAAATTTCGCTCTGAATTAGTTTGTTTCCACCTAAGCCGAACAACCTCTGTAAAGTGAAGGTGCTACGGTACCCTTGGCTTTGCCGCCTAATATGTATTGGCTCGTTTATCGAACTAATTACCGTGCTAATGTGTTTTGGGTGCAAAACCTTTCCTTGGTATAAATTCTCATCCAAATTATCCAATTCCAAGTGCTGCTTCTTAAATATTAGTCAGTCAAAAACAGAGAAACTATTGCGTGAAACAAAGAGATGAGGTAGTCTCAAAAATCTGCCATAAGTGGCATTCTTCGTTAAGGATACAATGCGGCTCAGT